GTGCATGTGTGGGCAAGTCCCTCTCTAGGTGGGCATGTGTGCTCCGAAACTCGAAGGAGACGGTGCCCATCCCCACCTCAGGGGGGGGGGTAGATTGCCCAGCGGGGCCAAGGTTTCCCCGGTGGGGGTGGGGCTTGCTTTCCTCGTCCAGAATCTCGACGCCCACCAATGGTGCCCCCTGGCTCGCGCAAGGATGCTGATAGGAAACGTCCCACAGCAAGCGCGCCAGGCCGCACGTCTCCGCGGTGAGAACAGGGCTGAACAGGCGCTCCCCCGCCCCGGGAGAGCGGCAGTGGATCCCTCCATTGGCAGGGCATTCCACCGACCTCCGCCCGCTCAAGGGGGGCCACGGCCGATGAGATCCTTCCAGCTTGTTCCACTTGAGCGACGCAAGCAAACGGGGTCGTCTGCGCCGACATTGGCGCGTAAGCTGCCCGCGTCAGGTCGCGCGTAAGCGCGCTCGCTTCAAATATGGTGTGCCGCGCGGGCGGCCCGCGTAAGCCACCACGTAAGTTCGCTACGTCATCTCGCGGAAGACCCGTTTTTGATCGTCGCTCGCTTGTACCCATGCTATCTGCCCTACCGCGACAGCCCGCACTCAGGGTGGAACCTCTGGCCTCTCAGGAAAGTTGTCGAGCAGACCAACCCTCGGAACCAACCCTCGGACGTCCTCGCCCGCTTCCCAGACCTGGCCGGCGGCTTTCAGGCAATGGTGAACAATCAGGAGAGGAGCCCCAACCAGAAGCCTGCGGCCAGAGAGTTTGGCGGATGGCTCATAGCCTTTGGGCGGGGATACCCCAGCAGCGTCTGCTCAGGCTGATCCCGAGCTTCGTTCAGACGATTGCCCGCCGCTCACGCGCTTTTTTCGCGGGCACCATTTCAATGGGACCGCACAGCGACGAAAGACAACGCATATGTGATCATTCATTCATTCATTTTGTGACTGAAGCCGCGTCGCCCTGCACGTCTCAAACGCTGTTAGCGCTGAGCCCCCCCCAGCGGTTGTGCGGGGTCTCTCAAGGGGGTGGGCGAGGACCGATGATCGACTTTCCCTGGTCAACGCCTGGGCATCGTTTCTGGGCGGGGTGATGGGGCGCGGGAAGCGTGAAAGGCATCGGGGAGTGACCCGAGTAAGATTTGAAGCCGACCGTGAAGGACACCACAAACAACAGATGGCAAAAGCAAACACGCTCCGACGATTGGAAAAGGGCCGACGTCAAAGCAAATAAGGCCGACGACCAACAAACGGAGGCCGACGACACATTCAAAGACAGAAAAAACAGCTGCCACGGACAAAAGAAAGGCGGTCGGCAAAGTCCGCCAGCGGCGCAGAGCCGCGTCAAAATCCGAAGTGGCGAACAGAAAGTGCTCCCGGAATGCGCGCAACCAAAGATTGCAGAAACGCCATTCGCATCGTAAGCTCACTGGGGGTGCTGACCACGGGGCAAATTTGTCACGCGGCTTGGTCGAGCGATTTGCCCTCGCGCGTTCCGCGCGCCTGGAAACTCGCGCTCGATCTGGGATTCCGCGCGCGCATTGATGCCTTCGCGCGCGCATGGCGCGCGGCGGGAGATGTGCGCGCGCCGATCCCATCGCGCGTTCCTCCGCCGCGGACGATGTGCGAGGCGCGCGTGTGCGTGTGCGTCATCCCCCTTGCGCGCGTGCCAGCGGCGCGAGACGAAGCCGGCGCGCCCAACAAAGTACCGACTTACCAGAAACAACGCGTAGTTCGTCCGCGCTGCACACGGCGCGAGGCCAGCGTCAACGCGAGAGCCATGACTCGGGTCGGGCGGTGGTGTCAGACTCGAATTCGCATATCGCCCAGAGTAGGTCGGCACATTTCACTTGAGAATTGTGGCAATAAGCTAATCGGTATGTCAACCGATTTTTCTGTGGATCCTGTCCTAGAGAAATGAGGATGTGATTTTTCTATTCAAAGCAACTCGTCTGGGCATCGTTCCTGGATGGGCTGGTGGGGATACTGGAAACGTCAAGGACAACTGATCGTCCCTTGCCATCGCCGCTTCAGCCCGCGCAGTTGGGTTTGGTGTATCCCCCTACCTGCTTTCATTCTGCACCCCTGCGGGATTCCCACCTTTGGTCGGGGGCGTGTCCTGACTGCTATGTCTTGCTTCGGATGAAGGGGGTGGAGGGAGGGAGAGGACTAATTGGAATGCGCAGGAAGACGTGAGGGTGTCTGGTGTGGGATGTGGGTTGGGTGGTGTGTGGGGGGCTGAAGGAGGGGATGGGGGAGGGGAGGAGGGGTTGGGGGGGACGATGAGGGAGGGGGGGGGGAGGAACGGCTGGAGGAGGACATCGGAAGGGGAGGAGGAGGAGGAGGAGGAGGAGGAGGGGGAGGAGGAGGAGGAGGAGGAGGATGAGGAGGAGCGAGCGAGCGAGCGACCTCGGCAGCAGTTCGGCGTCAGCGCAAGAAGCACGGGCCTGGGAAGATGGGCGCCTGTCAGCGTCCTGTATTGCTGCTGGTTCTGCCTGTGGGCGGGGCTGTAGGGCGCCTGAGGGAGCCCGTGGGGCCTACCAAGCCTTGAGCCCCTCTTCGGCCCTAGGCCGTCTCACACCTCCGAATTTTCGCAACAAGAGAGGGCGAAACCCTGGGCTCAATCCTCCCTGTACCTGCACTCCTATATGTATTAGCATGCTGAGTGGACGCTAGGGCACAATATGAATATTACGCGCATCACGTGCTCACTGTGCTATACACGATACAGCGTGCATGCATTGAGAACACTAGAGCGATATGCTACATTGCACTGTGCATCAATGGCCGCACTCACATTCTTATGAAGGATCCTCCAGCATCGGCGGCTGGTCGATTTTGAGAGTAACACTCCATCTGTCTCAGATCTGAAATAAGATGCCAGAAACTCCATCCATCTCAATACTCTGAAATACTATGAAAGAGACTCCATCCAACATCAAATCCTGCATTGACGAACTCTGGAGTGATCTTCGCCCCACAAGACATCTCCATTGGAAGCATCAGATATGTGGAGCTGTGGCATAGAGCTGGCGAACTCGAGATGGCTGTCACGAAAAAAGTTATTGACAGCCCATTCTCACCAGCATGTCTCGTGCTCGCGTGCTTCCCTTCTCGGCCTGTCTGCGCAGGCCTTCGACGTTCACGGCAGCGTATCTCACATATGGCGCGCCCGCAGCTGGTTCTGGAGGGCCCTCTCCAAGCTGCTCGGTGGCGCTGATCCCTGGACTGTTTTGCCTCCCGCGTGGATGGTGGCCTGATGGACTGCCTGGCGAAACTGCTGCATCGAGATCGGTGGCGGCTTGATCACTTCCTTGGGCCCTTCGGTGCTCTGCTCCCTTGCCTTGTTGACTGCAACGATGACCGACTCGTCCATGAAAGGGGCTGACTGCGAAAATGTTGTACATGACCTGCACTTTGAACTGCTTCGGCTGATCCTTGTGGCTGTAGGCGGCTTTGGTGCGGACGTATAGGGTAAGATCATCCACGTGCAGGAGTGACATCTTGCCCGTCAAAACAACGAAAGTGCCGAGGATCTCTTTCGATGGGCTCGGCAACTCCAATTGCGCCGGGCCCCCCTAAGAAGGCGGCCACGATGTGTGTGTGTGTGTGTGCGGGCTGCCCAGGTCCTTCTCCCCTGCCTTTCCCTTTTCCGCGTAAGCTGTCCCCATGTCCGTGCCCTGGTCTGTCGCTCCGTTCTGCGGGATCACGTAGAAGTCCCAGACCGAGCCCGCAAGGTGCCTCGACATCTGCATGGCGTTGTGCGCGGCCCGCTGCAGCGTCGTCATCTCTTCGTTCTGGTCTGGAAATCCATTCCCAGCATTCGCGCGGCGTTGCTGGGGTCCACCTGGTGCTGCTGGTCCCTGTCGTGGTCGCTGAGCGGGGGGGGCAGCTGCGGTGCCTGCTGCGTCGAGCGTTTGTGACCTCGGGCGAACCCCCGACGCCGTCAGCATCCATTTTGCTGGGTTCATCTTCTTCTGGCTCGGGCCCTGGGACGTGCTCTTGCACGTGCAGTGAATGTGAGTGTAGGTCTTGATGCAAGATGCCGCAATGCCCGCAGGTGTAAGGAGGGTCGGGCTCGGGTCGACAGTCAAACGACACAGATCGAGCTGGACACTTTCTCGGCGCCTTGGCTGCCACCGTCCATGTATGTCTCAGGCAGGAGGCCTTGCTGGCAAATGATACCTTGCACAGGTGACAGGTGTTCGTGCGGATGGCGAGCGAGTATTCATTTCGAAGCCGATAGGCAAAAGTTACATGGGCGTTCAGGGCATTCATTGTCGGGAATGTGGCTCCACAGGCTGTGCCATCACGTAACTCATGCGTGCTCATAAACTCCCCCTCGTATCCCTCCCCCTCGTCGTGCATGACGTGCCCTCGTGCTGCGCGCTCGTTTTCGTGTTAGAGGGGTGCGTGCACATAACTATCTTTTGGGGTTCATGAAACATCGACGTGCTTTAAACGATGTTCGTCCGCAACATCTCCTTCTTGAGGAGGAGGAGGAGGAGGAGGAGGAGGAGGAGGAGGAGGAGGAGGAGGAGGAGGAGGAGGAGGAGGAGGAGGGGGGAGGTGTTGGTAGTGAAGGAGTTGGCGCCCTCAGTTGCTGTCTCTTTCCCCCCCAGGCTTCTCCAAGCACTCCCCGATCAGCCCCCTCCTCGCCCGCTGGCCGCGAGGTGGAGTTCGACCTGGAGCCCGACCCGCGCAAGGGCGGCCAGCGCGCCGCGAACGTGACAGGCTCCGCTGCGAGTCGCTCGCCTCCCCCGTCCCGCTCCGAGGCAGGTTTCTCTTGTCGCAAACGCTGACCGTGCATTGCTGCTCCTGGGGGGAACGACGTAGTTGTGGACTGAACACCCCCAGGAGGCGGCCATCTGGGGAGGCAGGTCGGGGAAGGTAGGCGCGTAGGTGATGTTTTCAGTCGGCGCCATTCTGGCTCTAGCCATTGGCGCCCACTGGGATTATTCGGGCGCCCTGGCCTCTGGCCAAGGTGGGATGGCTGGAGGGCGGTATGGCAGTGCGGCGCTTCGTGGGAGCGCTGGCGCGGCGCGCCGTGGAGGCGCTGGCGCGGCGCTTCGTGGAGGTGCTGGCGATGCTTACCGTGGACGCGCCGGTCGTGATCATCGCGCTTGCGGCGGAGTCCGTGGAGCTGGTCGCGATCGTCGCGCAGCGGGTGGAGGAGGCCGCCGTGCTGATCCCGTCTCTCGTGCTCCCAGCAGTGGGGGCGCTGGTGCGGCGCTTCGGAGGGTCCCAGATGCGTCTCAACGTGCCGGCGCTGTTCGGCGCGGCAGTGCAGGCGCTGCGTGGCCTGGGGGCGCAGGTGCTGCCCAGAATCGAGGTTTAGGAGCCACTTGTCATGCAGTCTCCGGCGCGGCTCGTCGTGGGGGCGTTTGAGCTGATTTTCAGTGTCGTGATGGCGCTGTCCCTCGTAGACGAGCTCGTCGTGGCCGTCGTGCTATCAGCGGGTGCCGCTGAGCTCGTCGCGACAGTCGTGCGGCCGGCGGCGGACGCCGTAGATCAAGGTCGCCAGGCTGCTGGCGGCGGGCTCTGCGGAGCTGCTGCTCGAGGTCGACTTGCTGGCCGCAGAGGCCAGGGAGCGGGTCGCGACCATCGTGCGGATAGATGTTCACCGTGCCGACGTCGGTGTCCGTGGACCTGGCCGAGATTATCGTGCGGCTGGCGGCGGAGGCCTCTGCGCCGTCCCCGCTTCTCGAGCTTCCAGCAGCGGAGGCGTCGGTGCTGCTCCCCGTGGGGGCGCCGATGCTGCTCTTCGTAAAATACGGGTGCTGGCCAGTGCCGCGGGAGCCAAGGGCCAACGTGCTCTCCCGCCATGGCCCTGGCGCCGCGGACACCAGATGCGCCGGGCGAGTTGCCCACTGGCGGCGTGGAGGTGGAGGCAGCGCCCGGCGGACAGCGTGATGGTGCTGCCCGCCAGCCTCGACGGCGAGGTGCTGGCGCCGCTCATCACGTATGCGCGGGGTCGTGGAGCGGGTCGGGACCGTCGTGGCGCTGGCGGCGGATTTCGGGGAGCTGATCCTGATGGACCAATGGGTGAGGCTCATCGGCGTCGTGCCCGCGGCGGCGGCCGTCGCTGGAGCCGTCGCGCCGGGGGCATACACTTGGTTTGGCTGGAGCCATCGGCTCGGCTGGTGGCGACGCCGGGGCGCCGCGCGTGTTCGCTCGGGTTCGGTTGCCACGGCGTGGGGGAGCTGGTGCCCTTCCTCGTGGGCGCGCTGGTGCGCTTCACCGCCGAGGTGCGGGCGCCCCGTGCCGGCGAGGTGCGCTGGATCCGACCTTCGTGCTGGTATTGATGCGTGGATCTGCCTTCGCTGGTCGTGGGCCTGCCCTTCACGCAGCCGGTGCTGGCGATTGCAGCGCATTCCCGCTCAGGGTGCGAGGGCACCGGCGTGGCCAGCTGGCTGAATGGTGAGGGTTCGTGCGGCGCCTGATCTACGTGCATGCTGCAAGGGCTCCCTCGAGGGCGCGAAGTTATTCGCGCTTCGCGCTTCGCGGTCCTCGTTCCTTCTCCCCCTCCTCCTCGTCCTCCTCTTCTCCCTTTGGGGGGGCGGCGCGAGAGCGCGAAGTTATTCGCGCTTCGCGCAGCGCGAAGCGCGAAGTTGGGAGCCCTAGTGCATGCTGCTGCCGGTGGGTGCCACGCGGCTCGCTCGGGTCGGGTGCGATGCCGCTGCCGTGGCCCGCAGCGGTGCACGTTACAGGTCTGAGCGAGGCTGCCTTGCACGGGTCGCCGACTTGACTTTCGCTTGAGGAGGCCGCGCAGCCTTGCTCCAGAACGATGGCTTCTCCGTGGACCGCGACCTGAGCGAGGAGGGTCAATGCGGCCTCCCTGCGCTGGTCGCGGGCCTGAGCTACTCGGAGTTGCCGCCGGTGAGCGCCGCGCTGCCCTGCTGGGAGCAATTGCATCGCCGTGGCCCGCGGCGGTTGGAGCGTTGCTTGTAAGTGCGATATTCCCTGCTGGGCGCGGACCTGACCTGCGCGCAAGCTGCCCCCCCGCGTGGGGCCACTCGTCCCTGCTCAGGAGCGGTGGCTTGGCCGTGGGCCACGGCCAGAAGGGCGATGAGCTTCCTTCGTTGATCGCGGCCCTGACCTGCGCGCAGTGCTGCGGGTCGGTGCCGCAGTCCCGCCAGGAGCGATGGCATCACCGAGGGCTCCCACGAGGGCGCGAAGTTATTCGCGCTTCGCGCTTCGCGGTCCTCGCTCCTTCTCCCCCTCCTCCTCGTCCTCCTATTCTCCCTTTGGGAGGGCGGCGCGAGAGCGCGAAGTTATTCGCGCTTCGCGCTTCGCGCAGCGCGAAGCGCGAAGTTGGGAGCCCTAGCAGCCCGCGAGCTGAGCAATGACGTCAGGCGCTGGAGGCGGGCCGCCGTGCGCTGCCCGTGAGCCGTGCGCCGCGGTCGCGCGGGCAGGCCCCTGGCCACAACAATCCCCCAGGTGTGCCTGCCCGTCTCGGGTGTCGAGGCCTGGTCGGGGGAGCGTAAGACCCGGGTTTGCCAGGACTCGGGTTCGCCATCGTTTTTTGACGGCCGCGCCTCGGATTTTGACGAGGAGGAGTTTCGTGGGATGTCTGCAGCGGGAGGCCTCGTCAAAATGCAGGCTCGGCCTCGTCATTTTTTTGACGACCTCGTCGGGGATTTCCGAGTCCCCCGTAACCGGGTCTTACGTCTCCCCGACCTGGGTCTGGGCGCGCGAGCGCGAAGGTGACCGCGCCTCGCTGGGGGTCCCGCCGTGGCCATTGGCTCGGTTGGTCCACGGCGCCGCCGTTGTCGGCCCGCAGCCTTGGCCCTCACGGCCCCGTGGCCTGGCCTGGCCGTGGCCACGTCGGTCGGACCAGGCCTGGCCGTGGCCGTGCCGTCGTCGCCGTTGTCGGCCGTCGCAGCTGTCGGGCTGACGCCACGTCTTCGGCCGTCGTCGGCCGCCGCTCCCACGGCTGGCGCCGACGCCGTCGTCGTGGCCGTCGCTCCCGTCAGCGTCGTCGACGCCCGCGGCGATGGGGCGCGGTTGCCGCCTCCCCCACAGGCGGCGGCCGCCCCGCCCGTGGTGGCCGCGGACCCGACCTGCGCGCCCATAACCGCCTCCGTCCACTTCGCGGCGAAGACCTGGCTTGTCGGCTCCGGCGATTGCCTGCGCGCGCTGGAGGGTCACGGCGATGTCGCGAGGCCCGCTGTGTCCTCGCCAGACGAGCTGGAGGTGCTGACCGCCTCCTACGATGGCACGACGAAGATCTGGCGTTTGAGCTCCTGCGAGTTCTTGCGCGCCCTGGGGGCTGCGCCTACGTTGCGGTTGCCGCCGTGCCGGTGCTGACCGCCTCATACGATGGCGCGGCGAAGATTCGGCGCGTGGGCTCCAGCGTGTGCCTGCGCGCCCTGGAGTGCCACGGGAATACCGCCAGGTCCGCCGCGTTCTCGCTGGGCCGGCTGGAGGTGCTGACCGCCTCCTACAATGGCACGGCCAAGGTTTGGCATATGGTCTCCAGCGTGTGCCTGCGTGCCCTGGAGGGTCACGGCAGAGTCGCGAGGTGCGCCGCGTTTTCGCGGGAGGGGCTGGAGGTGCTGACCGTCTGGCGCGATTGCTTGGTGTAGATCTAGCGCGCGGGCTCCGGCGAGTGCGTCTGCGCCGGGCTCCGGCGAGGGCGCCACGGCGATGTCGCGATTATTGCCGCGTTTTCCCTGGACGGGCGGCAGGTGCTGGCCGCCTCCTCCGATGGCGCTGCGAAGAGCTGACAGGTCGGTTCCGGCGACTTCCTGCGCGCCCTGCAGGGCCGCGGCGACGCCCCGAGATCCGCCGTGTTCTCGCAGAACGGGTGGGAGGTGTGGGCCGCCTCGCAGGACCTAGCTACAAAGATCTGGCGCGCGGGCTCTGGCGGGTGCCTGCGCTCCCTGGAGGGCCACGACGATGTCGGGATTGCGGGGGTGTTCTCCTTGGGCGGGCAGGAGGTTCTGACCGGCTTCTACGATGGCGCGGCGCAGATCTGGCGCGTGGGCTCCGGCGAGCTCCTTCGCCCTGGAGGGCTGCGGCGATGTGGGGAGGTCCGCCATGTTGTCGCGGGGCGGGCTGGAGGTGCTGGCCACTTCCGACGCTCGCGCGGCGACGGTCTGGCGCGCGGGCTCCAGCGAGCGCTTGCGCACCCGGGATGGCCACGGAGATCGAGTCGTTCTCTTGGTGTTGGCGGGCTTAGCTAAGCCCGTCTCGTTGCGCGCACGTGGCGCCTTGAGGCCCGCTGAGGCCGTTCTTGCGCATCTCTTGGGCGCTCTTGGGTCCGTGTTGGGGCGATCTTGACCTGCTTGGGTCTCCCTTTGCCCCAAAAGCCCATCTGAAGCGAAAACGCGAGATGGCAAAACACAATGATTTTGTTTAGGTGTCTGAAAGATTTTGTCCTCGTGGAGGGTGCCTCGGAAGGCTCGACGGGCACTTGGAACCGTCTTGGGGCTGTCTTGGGGCCTCTTGGAGGTATGTAGGAGGCTATATTGAACTATCCTCGGCTATCCTGAGCCACCATCTTGGATGCCGTCTTGGGCTGCCGAGGGCCCTCTTGGAGCCGTCTTGGGCCCATCTTGCAACTCGAAATACCCAGTCCCCCCCCCCTCCCAGGCCCAGGGGTGGGGTAGGCGGAATGGTCAAGCTACCCACCCGCCTGCAAGCCGTCTGGCTCACTCCCACCCCCCTCCCAACACATACGTCACACCCGAGCCTGAGCATGTTCAGCGGTCGTCTTTGAATGGACAGCTACTGTGAACCAAAGCCGACCCCTGGTGCGCGACGCTTGGGCGAGGTGCGCCACGCGTGCCAGGGGCGCCACGCGCGCCAGGCACCCCTGGGGCCCGAGCGTGCCAGGCACGCCTGGTGCGCCAGATGCGCCACGTGCTCCGAGTGCGCCAGGTGTGCCGCACACTCCAGCCGCGCCAGGTGCGCCACGTGCAGCGTGCATCAGATGCGCCTGCGCACGTGACTGCACACATCGGGAAACATGTCGGTCCCCGCCATCCTTGTCGAAAACCAATGTCCATCATTGTGTCTGATGGGCCTGCGCACAGCAGGCCACGCGCCCCCCCCCGCAGTCCCTGTCAAAAACCACTTGACAGTGATCGCAGGATGACCGCGCATGATCCAGATTTAGCCGCGAGGCGCATGCTGTATTGTTTTTTTGTCAGGGATGGTAGCCCTGCGCACAGAAGGGAATATGCTGACACCCCCGCCGTCCCTGGCAAAAACATTACAAAGTGCGACGACGACGAGAAGACGATGCCGAGATCGACGATGGCGACGATAGCGATAGCGAGACGCGAACCCCGACGACGACGAGGCGACGATGACGAGACGCGATCCCCGGCGACGACGAGATCGACGACCCCCGACGATGACGACGAGATCAACGACAACGAGATCGAAGACGAGCAGCGAACGGCCGCGCCGATCGTCGTCGATCCCGTCGTTGTCGAGCAGCCCGCGGCGAGCGCCCGCGACGGGCGCCCAGGCCCCGGGGGCGCGGCCGTGCAGGGCGCGCCGAAGCGGGAGGCCGACGAGCAGTGGTGAGGCGGTGCACAGGGGCGCTCGGCAAGGGCGGGCAGCGTCGGGCTGATGGGGGGGCATGGGACGACGATGACGACGACGAAGCAGATGATGATAGCGATGGTGAGGATGAGGATGACGATGATGATGATGATGATGATGATGATGATGATGATGATGATGATGATGATGATGATGATGATGATGATGATGATGATGATGATGATGATACTGATGATGATGATGCTGATGAGGATGAGGATGAGGATGAGGATGATGCTGCTGATGATGCGGATGATGGTGATGGTGATGATGATGAACATGTTTGTGGAGATGATGTGGAGAGGAGGGTGATGAGGACGAGGATGGCGATGCGTATGATGGTGATGGTAATGGTATGTAGTGATGGTGGTGGCGATGATGGTGGTTGTGGTGGGGATGGTGGTGGTGATAGTAATGGTGATGGTAGATGTGATGGTCATGGTGATTGTAATGGTGATGGTAAGGGTGATGGTGGTGCAGATTGAAGTGATGATGGCTCGCTTGCGGCACGCTGGTAGCACAGTCGCAGACCCGATGATGAGGATGATGATGAGGATAAGGATCATGATAATGAGACTAGCAGGACGTTCACTATGACGATGGTAATGACGATTATGATGATGCTGCTGATGATGATCATGATCATGCCATGGTGATGACGATGATGCTGATGATGATGATGATGCTGTTGATGACGATGGCGATGGTGATGATGATGACGATGATGGTTGTGAGGGTGAAAGTGGTGATGATGGTGATGATGCCCATGATGGGACGGATGATGATGATGATGATGCTGATGATGATGATGATGATGATGATGCTGATGATGATGATGATGATATTGATGCGCAGTATAACGATCATGACAACGACGTCGACGCCGGTGCCGACGACGATGTCGACGACGAGGATTTTGATGTTGGTGATGCTGCTGCTGATGTTGATCATGCTGATGATGATGCTGCTCAGTATGATGATGACGATGACGAAGACGACGATGCCGACGATGATTATGATGATGATGCTGATGCTGATGACTCTGCTGATGATGCTGCTTGTGTTGATGAGGTTGCGGACGACGGCGACGACGACGATGCTGTTGATGATGATGTCATGCTGGTGACGATGATGATGATGATGATGATGATGATGATGATGATGATGCTGATGATGATGATGATGATAATGGTACTGCTGGTGATGCTGATGATGATGCTGTTGATGATGTTGATATTGAGGGTGATGACGGTGATGCTGATGCTGCTGGCGATGCTTATGATGATGATGATGGCGATGATGATGATGATGATGATGATGATGATGATGATGATGATGGCGATGGTGATGATGCTGATGATGATGATGATGATGATGATTATTATGATTTCGATGATGATGATACTGATGATACTGTTGATGCAGATACTGATGATGCGGATGATGATGATGATGGTGATGATGCTGATGATGCTGATGATGATGATTATGATGATGATGATGATGATGATGATGCTGATGATGATGATGATGATGATGATGTTGATGCTGATGATGATGATGATGATGGTGATGATGATGCTGATGATGATGATGATGATGGTGGTGGTGATGGTGATGTTGATGGTGATGATGTTGTTGTTGTTGTTGATGTGGTTGATGATGATGATGATGATGATGATGACGATGATGGTTGTGGTTGTGGTGGCGATGATAGTGACGATGATGATGATGATGATGATGATGATGATGATGATACTGATGATGCCATTGGTACAGCGTGTGACGGGCACGATAGCGACGTCGACGTCGCCGCCGACGACAATGCGGACGATGATGATTGTGATGTTGACGATGCTGTTGCGGCTGCTGCTGCTGATGCAGATGATGCTGATCATTAGGATGATGACGAGGAATATGCTGATGACGCTGCTGCTGATAATGATGCTGATGATAGTAACGATGATGAGGTTGCGGACGACGACGGTACTGATGATGCTACTGATGATGATGATGATGATGATGATGATGATGATGATGCTGATGCGGATGCTGATGCTGATGGTGATGAGGATGATGAGGATGATACTGATGACGATGCTGATAATACTGATGACGATGTTGATGCCGACGACGACGATGGTGATGATGCTGATTATGACGACGACGCTGATGATGCTGCTGATGATTAGGACGATTCCGATGCTGATGATGCTGGTGATGATGATTATGGTGATGATGATACGGATGCGGCTGCTGCTGATGCTGCTGATGATGATAATGCTGATGCTGCTGCTGATGAGGATCCTGCTGCCGCTAATGGTTATGATGATGTTGTTGAAGATGGTGATGACGTTGATGATGCTGTGCCGATGATGCTTTTGCTGATGAGGATGATTATGATGATGCTGCTGCTTGCTTCGGGTGATGATGATGATGATGATGATGCTGATGATTTTGACGCTGCTGCTGCTGATGATGATGCTGATGAGGATCATGGTGCTGCTGATGATGATGTTGATGCTGTTGATGCTGGTGCTGCTGCTGATGATGTTGATGACCATGCTGCTGATGCTGATGTTGATACAGATGGTGATGCTGATGACGATGCTGATGATGCTGATGATGCTGATGATGATGGTGATGATGCTGACGATGTTGGTGATGCTGATGCTGCTGACGATCATGATGCTGATGATGATGGTGGTGGTGATGAGGATGATGAAGCTGATGAGGACGACGATGATGATGCTGATGATGATGGTGATGGTGACGCGGATGTTGATGCTGATGCTGCTGCTATTGCTGATGATGGCGATGACGCCGATGATGAGGATGACGTGGCTGATGCTGATGCGGGTTTTGATGATGATGATGATGATGATGATGTTGATGATGCTTTTGCTGCTGATGAGGCTGCTGCTGATGATGATTATGCTGCTGTTGATGATGATTATGACGAGGATGATGATGCTGCTGCTGATGATGACATGATGCTGCTGATGATGAGGCTGCTGCTGCTGCTGATGAT